TAATAAAATCGCGCCCACTTCTTCAAAGAAGTTCGGACCGCTCCGGATCTCCGACTAATCGGGTCTGAGCCGAACCGACCCGCGCCGAGCTGAGCGGAGCGGAGACTGAAGGTTCGGGCGCTTCAGTCGCGCCAAACGCCCGGAATAAGAGGCTCGTTTCCCCCAGCTGCTGTCAGAGCCCGGACGCCAGAGCGTCGCTCTCTCTCTCACTCATTCTTTACCTTTTTTTTAAAAGTGGAGAAAGAGACGCACCTCTCTCTACCTGCGCAGGTAAACTGAGCTGCAAGTTTGACTCACGGAAGTTGAAAAAATCCATCAACTCCTCGGTGGACAAAAAAAGATAAAAAAAGGTATTGTTTTTAAAAGTAAATAAGCACATACCTGGTTTTCTAGGAGGAGGGTGTAAAAAGCGTCTTTCAGATGGGAGCTGCGAGGAGGGATGATACCGGAGCGCGTCCTGCTCCACCGGTGAGAATAAAACCTTAGAAATAAAAGCCTTAGAAATAGTTGGGAGGAGGGAGGGACCGCTATTCCTGCTAGGGCAGGTTTACAACTGATGTCTTACACCCACTCCAGGAAACAAACCTGGGTAGGGACTGACGTGTTACGCCTCTTCTAATGACATTTTTTTTTTCTTTCCACCTCCTTTTCTCCGCGGTGCAACACAGAGAAAAGCCCCCTGAAACGCACGCCACCTATCTTCACGGGAGGGGATAATTGAGGAGAGTCAAACGTGAGCATCTTCTGGGCTGAAGTTTTTCCTCCCCTCCCCCCTCATCCCATTCTCTCTCTCCCCCTCCCTCTCTCTCTCTCTCTTTCTCTCCCCCTTCTCTTCCTCCTCTCAATCTCCTCTCTCTTTGGCCATCTCCTCTCCGTTTGAGCGAACCGCCGAGCTCCGGCGCGGAGAACAGACGACTTTTATTTATATATTTCTGTGAAAGAGCGCAAACTGATGGGGACAAACTTCACCCACTCCGGCTGCCATCATGTAAGCATTATTTTCTATAAACACATACATTTATATCTGTTTCAAATGCTTCAAATTTGGGTTTCATTTGCAGAGTATTAATGTTTTTATTTTATTTATTTTTTCCTATATAATCTGTATGACTCTAATTGCTTAAAACCATAAGCAAAATCAGTCAACTTAAATTATAATGGTTCCAAAAACAACAAACAGATAGTTGCATTAAACATAAATTAATCAAAATGAGATGTATTCAGTTATTGATACTCACTCTGTGGGGGGGGGGGGGGGGGGAATGACAAGATCTGAGCGTGCTAAGTTTATTTCATGGCAGAAAATCTGAGAAACTTTACATCTATGTTGCTGTTTTTTCACCTCTCTACTTCCGCATGTAAACTTTGCGCGCAGTTTATTTCATTTTTAATGGATTTTTGCCTTTTTTTTTTATTTGCCACGATGGATAAAAATAAATTTGCGCACAAACTGACACTTTTACGCACTTTAAGAGGTAAACAAATAAAAAAAATAAATAAATATAGACATGTTAGAGAAATTCATCCAGAATTATGAAGGAGATTGATCCGTTTTGGACTCAGCTTAACAGGATGAATAATATTAATAAAAAAAAATAACAGCATGAATCCCGCACATCAGGCGTGCACACACTCGAACACACACAACGCACACAAAGAGGGAGGGAAAGGAGGCTCCACCTTTGCAGCGCCCTGATTGGTTATGTAAATAAGTATTATTTTTTGTCCTGTCCTGCTGCAGTTTGACTCTGTATGGATAATTAAATCATCAATCAAGGGGCTGAAGGGCTGATGCACGTGAACAGGCAGATGAGCCAATCAGAAGCTTCATAAACACGGTGACACAATCTGGAAATCTTGTTGAAATTTTATGTTGAAACCTTTTTCTCCCTTTACACTGATTTGTTATAAAAGCAGGCAAACAATGCTTTTTCTCACTTGTATTTTTCTTTCTTTTTTTGTCAAATTTGATCATTAAGGACTCAGAGGGCTTAACGTATTGGGGGGTAAGTTTTATTATTTATTTTTATTTAACAGTTTGCACATTTCTGTCAGTAAATGCTGTTCTGCTTTCTTCTTTTCACCTGAAACAAGGAGGAAGAAGAGGAGGAGGTGAGTAAAATTGTCTCGGCTCAAAAGTGGATCCAGATCTGAGGGTTTTTTAAATGCATTTTTTTTAAATGTGTAATTAATAGTCACGGAGCACACTTAAACCGTACACACACTCGACACACACCTCTGATCCACAGCAGCGTGGAGCGGCACCTCGCGCGCAGGCCCTCTTCCGTGGGGCCACATATTCACCGTGAAAACGGATTACAGTCACTGTGTGACCTATAGGGGGACCTTGTGCTTAATGAATATATTGCTTTAAATCAGGAAGGTGTGTGTGTGTGTGTGTGTGTGTGTGTGTGTGTGTGTGTGTGTGTGTG